GTGGGTGATCAGAGTCTCTGAGTGATGCCGACTGTGAAGCGCTCATCTCTGGACCCAGAGGTTGGCGATCGGAGCACAGGCAGATGAGTCTTGGAAGAAAGAGCTGGCCATCTGCTTCTGAAAGGTCCTCGGGCCTTGGAAACCCTATGGAGCAAGTCTATTCTGCCCCTGCGGGCTGGCCAGGGGTCCGGATTGATTCAATGGCAACAATGTGCTTCGGTCTGGATAGCAATGAGTGTCTTTTCTTTTCTTTTCTTTTCTAAAAGCAGCAGTCTCTGTGCACCAAGCAGCAGTACAGCCCTGCAGGCCTGAGAATCGTCCTGATGGAATTCAAATCCCACTCGGCTGGCCCAGGAACTCACTCGCTCCACGTCCATTCACTCCTTTTGGAAACAGGAACTGGAAAGACAGCAGCATCCCCCGGTTTTCAGAAGGGTTTGTCAGTATTGTTGCTGTTCACTGCCACTAAGGCGGCTCTCAACTCATAGTGGCCCCGGGAACCAAAGAGCAGACTGCTGTGACCCATAGAATTTTCATTGGCTGGTTTTGGGGGGAGGGGGGCATTGCCAGGCCTTTCTTCCTACTCCACCTTTGTCTAACAGCCGCGCTGACACCTGCTTGGCATCGTGACAACACTCAGGCTTCCACTGAGGAGTGAGTGGTGGCTGCCCTGCCAGGATCAACCGCTAACAGGTCATGATTATCAACTGTCCTAGCAAGAACGAGTGGTCATTCATGCAGGTACAGAATTTCATTTTCTGCTTCTTCGGTGTGTCATTGAACACAGAACTGTGGCTGCCCTCCTGTGAAGTGCACAAAACAAAAGCGCACAGCCGATGCCATCGGATAGCCGTCATCTCTCTGGACTAGCCAGCAGCTGTCAGATCAGCCCTGCCTGCTGAGGGCCCGCATCGCAATGTCGCACAGTAGGTGCTCTTCTGTGGCCGGTTTCTTGCACTCGAGTTTATAGTTTTGCAGTTCATCTCTGCCACTGTGTATGTCCATTGGAGTTTTTCTTTGACATGGCCGTACAGTCTTTCGTTGTGTGGCTAGGCCGCTGTTCTTAATCCACAGTAAAGGGGGTGACTATCATCACCCCAGCTTGAAACTGGGGCTCCAAGGTTTAAGTTTTCAGTCTGAGGTCAGAGTGAAACTGGGACAAGCGTTTGAACTCAGCTCCTTCTGACTCCCAAACCATCTCCTTACCATGAGCAACGGACCCACTGTCGTCAGGTTGATTGTGACCCCCTAACACCCCTACAGGACAAAGCAGAACTGTTCCAGCGTACCCTGGTGGCATCGTGGTGACCTACTGGGTCTGCCAACCACAGTTCACACTCACCAGCCAGTCTTGGGAGTCAGATGAGGGAGTCAGATGAGGCTGCCTGATCCTGCAAAGACTTCCAGCCTCAGAGGCCCCCAGAGGCAGTTCTAGTCTGTCCTGTAAAGCCACTGTGAGTAGGAACTGACTCGATGACAGTGGGTTGCGTTGAGAACTGTTCCACAGGCTTTCCAAGGCGATAACTTCATGGAAGCGGCTAGTGGATTTGAACCTCTGACCTTTCAGTGAGCAGCCCAGTGCCTGAACCACTGTGCTACATGGGCAGTAGGCCCTCCTCTATCTCTGGGGAAAGGAGCCCTGGTGGCAAGCCAGTTAAGCATTCAGCTCCTAATTGCTCAGGGGGTTTAACCCACCAGCTGTTCTCCTGGGGACAGAGGAATCAGTTTGCCTCTGTGAGGATTTATAGCCACAAAGAGCCCCAGGATGCAGCTTTGTTCTACCCTACAGGGACGGAGTGACAGCATCCAGGGGACAACAGTGGGGTGGGTCATGCCCTCGGGGAACTGAGAGCTAGCAAAGATGGCCTCCCCTGTGGCATGAGCTCACTTGGCACGAGGTACAACTCAGAATCAGGGGCAGCTTACTTGACGGGCTCGGGGTGATGAGAAAATGGCCTCAGGCTTGAGCGGAGCATGGATTTCATGTCACTGGACCCCAAGCCAATAGCCAGGGTTTGGTCATCACTCACAGCCCTGTGCCTTGAGCCCTGGACTTCACCAGCGTGTCAAAACAGCTGGGGACAACCTCAGCATGGGGGCTGCACCCTCTCCACTCACTGCCCAGCAGTTGGCTCTCACGGGCCAGCAAGGGGCCCCCGTCCTGGCTCCTCAGAGACGATTTTCCATGTCAGTAACTCTGATGTGACCATTTGGCACTCCTCTCCAAAGCACTGGAAGTCCCCAAGCCACAAACTTTACCTAACCTCACGAGAAGGCCAAGGTTTCGTCCTGCTTCCCAGTGCTCTCGACATGTTGGCCACTGCCCAGCAGGCCAGAGGAAGGGCTCCGGGCTCCGGGCTCAGGGCTCCAGGCTCAGAAAGGGTCACCTGCACAGGGGTGGTGAGACTAGCAGATCCCTCCCTCTCTCATCTCAGGGAGTATTCCAGTCTGTCCGGCTAGACCTGATTAAATGGTTGGCTGCATTGCAGGGGTGGGAGACCCTGAGGAGGGGGCAAGGGGTGGGGGTGGGAGACAGGCTCAGGGCCAACTCCCCCAGGCCACCCCAAGGCACCCTGTGCTCTGTCGCTCATTAACCGAACCTACCCCATGGCAGGCAGAAAAGGGGAAAGTCCAAGAGGGATGACCTGCCCCCTCCTCTAAACATGCCAATCCAGGGCCTCATGGGACATGAGATTGTGACATTTGGTGAAGGGGGTGTGTGCAGGGTCATCTAATCCCACTGGCTACTTCTCATGCCCTTGCACACGGTCCATGAAAGGCCAGGGCAGTGGCTACCATTACTGCCTGTTCTGATCAGGGACCGTCACACAAAGATGGAATGGTGTGAAACAGACTTTGAACTCAAGTCCAAGCTACCTTCCCCCACGCCATGCAGACTTCCTACCGTAGGGCCTCTCTGCCCTTCCGATAGCCAGAGCATTACCATCCAATTGGCTGTAAAGCCCATCTGAAGTCTGCTCCAAATTCTCTGCTGGTCTTGCAAGGCTCCCCATTCTACCAGAGCGCCCCCTCAGCACAGCAGGTCCCACTCCAACACTGACCCTTCCAGACCAGGAAAGTCTTCCCACAGGGCCCCAAAGGGGACCTTTCTTTGAGCTGTCCCAAGGGAAGATCTTTAGCCAAGAGTCTGAAAATGGGCTGCAGGATCGACAGCAACAAAAGGCCCACCAACCTAGGGCAGACTTCTAGCCGGTGCCTGCCCCAGCATCCAGGAGGGCACAGGGTGGGAAGCAGGCCCAGGAAGTTGGGCCTCAACCTTCATGCCCCGCCATCCCTTGGTGCAGGCCGAACCTCCAGCTCTCTGCATGGCTCCTGTCCTGCCCGGTGACAAAGGTCTGTGACGGAGATCGGCAACCAGCTCAGCACCCACACCTCCGTGGTCCTTGTCAGCCTGGAGCACAGGAGAGCTGAGACTACCTCCTCTTCCAGTGTCCTGGAAAAATAATGGGCCTGAGAGGATTCGGCTATTTCCCTTCTCAAGTAGCTTTGGGCTTATTTCCTCTACCTTCAGATTCTAGAGGTTAGGAAGTCACCCTTGGGTGGCTACCACCTAAGGGCTGGCCCAGCCTCTTGGAGCTCCCTGTAGCGCCCCTGGAGTCAGGAAGGGTTCCTAGTGGATCTCCCTGTGCTCTGATTGCCCAGGTCCCCCTCCCCAGGGATTTCCAGGCCTTTGCTTTTATTCCCTTCTCTTACCCCAGGACATTCAGAGCACTCCGTGGGTGCACTCAGTCGCTCCAAGCCCAGGGAATCACCAGGCATTGGGAGGTGTCGATTTCTGCCTTGTGCTTGTGCACACTCAAGGTGAACGCTTCAATGAATTGCTATTTGCTCCCAGACAGGAAGATCACAGGCTGTGTGGCCCGCCCCTCTCCAGCCACCACCCACCTGCCCACACCGTTGCTGCCTTGCAACTGGCGAGTGACTACTTTCCCACTCACACCCCTGCACCCCAGCAGGTTAGCCAGGGAAACATGAGTCCTCAGGATCCAGCCCAGCCTCGAGGGCAGCCCCTGGCCTGACAGCTGCCCCATTCCCGGCACGGCACAGCCCCCAAGCAACATCCTTGCCTCCCCTGACCAAGAAAACGTGGATTCACGACCATACAGAAAGATCCAACCCTTGTGACAGGTGACACATCCCTACTTCTACTTGTTCTGCAGTGTCAAGGACATACCTAGGAGTAATATGGAGGGGCCTACTAGCCTGTGTTACTGCCCGCTTCCGCCTAACAGCCTTCTCGACACACCAGCATATCCCGAGGCCCTCTGAAACCACCCCAGTCCTGTGACTGAGCCCTCACCACATTGAATACTCCCCAAGAATACAATGCTGCACCTACCCCACCCTCAGTACGTGTGAGACAGAGCTTCAGATCCATTTCCTGGGTGGAAGATACTTGCCTGGAAACCACTTGCTGGTGTGCCTGTGTGGTCCCCACCCGCACCTCTCACCCCTGTTTTGCCAACTTGACTCACTACCGTGGAGTCGCTGCTGATGCAGAGCGATCCTATAGGACGGGGTAGAACCGTCCCTAACTCATAACAGGAGCAGAAAGCCCTGCCTTTCTCCAGGGGAGCAACTGGTGATTTTGAACTGCTGACCTCGCACATCACAGCCCAAGATGTAATCACCCCAAGGAATTGAGCACAGGCTGACCCGGGAAGTCCAGCAATCCCATGAGCTGGGCTCCCCTGGAAAAACCACCTTCAAGATAGCATGATGGACAAGGCTGGCCCTTGGCCACTCACTAGCAAACCACTAACACACTGGGCCAACTTCTCTGAAGTCATCCATCAGGAAACAAAGACCCCTTTGCAAAAAAAACCCGAAACACCTCCAGGATCTCCCTTCCACACTTCTCTTTGGGCTAAGTCCCCCCTCCCCAATACCTCACAAGGAATCCAGCCCACCACCTACTATGGATCAAATAAAACCAGCTTCACCATCTGATTCTTGAAAAAAACTTGGGGTTTATTGATTTTTAAACTGCAAATAGTCGTTACAAAAAGGTTTTTCTTTTAAATAAATTCACACAAAGAAGAAGAAACAAGAAAGCAACGGTAGTGAACAGCACGAGGAATCATAATTACATTCATCTTAAATGTGTCTGTCAGTCCTGTTTCCATTCGTCTTGGAAAACTCCACACCTGGAATCCAGAGCCTCAAATCTGTGATCGGAATGTCTGTTTTTGTTTTCAGACCGGCACGTGGAAGTCAAAGGGTTTCTCTCTCGCTTTTTTCCCTTTTTAGAAGCTATACATAAAAAGACACGGCTTTCCTTCTGTACTGTCACAGAACGCTTACATACATTCTCAGTCCTACTTGTGAAAAGGCCTACGGAGAAAGAAACTCAATTTGCAGTCCAACACAAAAAGGCGGGAATTTCTAAAATAAATAATCCAACAGTTTTTTGCATTTTTTTAAATTAATTTTTCATTTTTTTAAAATAAAATAACCAAAAAAAAGTGTAAAGTTACAAAAATGTCGTTGAGGAATAATATATTAAAACTGTGGGGGGGGAAAAAAAAAGAAAAAAGACACGTCACAAAATTTTAAGATTAATATGAAGATCATAATTTAACATAAAAGAATATATTCTATGGATTTGTCATCCCGATAAATATGAACAAAATTAACAAAAAAAAGCATAGTTTGGCAATAAATACGTTTTGATAAGTTAAATAAGCTTTTTTTTATATTGATGTGCAGTGACAAGCAAAATTTTTGCTCTCCAATTTCTGAAAAGTTAGATGAAGTTTAAAACCCGGGGAAAAAGCCTGGCGTGTGTGCTCAAGGGCAGACCTACGGTATTCTAGAGCAAAACCAAGAACGCTACCTCTACGGGGAATCGTCTTACAGAGATCGACGTGGAATGAATACCATCAACTGCTCACCCTTCACTTGTTCAGCTCTTCTCTCGTTTGTCCTGTTGTTACGTCGTTTACGATGTCACATATAAACTGGGGAACTTTAGCACCAAAATCAAGTCTCTCGTAGTCCATCTAACTTCCCCTTCCTCCCCACTTAATAAAGAAACAAAAACTCAAAAATAAATCACAAAGTCCCACTTAGCTCACTATCTTGGGCCGCTTTTTTTTTCCCAGGCCCGCCTTCCTTCCTACAGGTCTACACAAAACCAGGCAAGATTTGTCAGCAAGGGGGTTCAGGTGGGGAAGGAAAAGGTGTTTTGCATGTCAAGACAGGTTCCCTCACCCGCAAACCCAAGTCTGGCAACAACTCTCCCAAGAGGGTGGGGAGAAGGTGGGGGGTAGGGAGCAGGCACCCGGATGAGAGGGCGGCGGGAGGCTTTATTGAGGGCAGGTGCCGTCAAGTCGCCAGCGGAGGGAGCTGCTGGTTCTGGGTCTCCTCCCCTCGCCACGGGCAGAGGCGCCGGGAGGCCCACGGGTGCCCTCTGGCGCTGAAGAGGTAATGTAGTCACAGTGACAAAGTTAGATTACAAGGCACTAAGTTGCTTCTGTAAACTGTTACTGCTTTTTCTTTTGCGATTTGGCACTTAAGGCTTAAGCCAGAAAAAGGCATCTACTGACAAATATGGGGCTGGTCTGTTAGGCGTAAGTGGGCTATAAAATCGAGGGGAAGAGTTTCAAGCCAGAGGAAACTGACAAATTGACTTGTCCTCCTGTTAGGTGGGATCACAAGGGGTGGGGGAAATGGGGGAGGGAAGAAGGGGGCATTCCAAGGCTCAAGGGAAAGGGGGTTGAGCTTAATCTTGTTATATAGGAGTCCTCAGGAATTGATTTGGGGCGGGGGTGGGGGTGGGTGGGTAATAGCATAGGCAGGTGACCCTCCCTACTCTGTTTAGTCATCTGAGATGGAAAGTCTGCTGAAAATGGGCAGGCGTCTGGAGGTGTCCAAGGTGGGGGAGTCGGCGCCGCTGTGGCTGCTGCTGGAGCTGCTCAGGTAGCCCTCCTGGTCCGACAGAGAATCCTGAGGGCTGGGCGGGGAGTCAAACATGTGAGGGGACTCGGACATGGGCCGGAAGAGGAAAGTGGTCGGGGAGCCACCCCCGGGCAACCCCATGCTAGGGGCAAAGAGGCTCGCCAGCTCCTGGCTGGAGAAGGCGAATGGATTACTGGTACCATCAGGCAGGGTGGGTGAGCCCAGGAGGTCATCGGCACTCAGGATAGGGGGTGGGGTGATGGATGTGGGGCTGTCCAGCAGCCCCGTGGCAGCGGCGGTGGCAGCGGCACTCGGGAAGCCAGCAAAGCTGAAGCTGTGCTGGAGGCGGGGCCGGTCGACGGAGAGGTCCCGGGCCCCAGCCAGGGCGCGGCGCTCCTCGGCGTTGTGGATGAAGTGGCAGCGGGGCCCGTAGGGGCAAAAGCCGATGGTGTGGAAGGTGCGGCACAGCTCCGTCTTGTACTTGGGGTGGCGGGTCAGGCTGCGGAGCTCGTGGATGCCGTGCGCGAACTGGCACTTGTCCCCGTACTTACAGGCGCCGTTCTCCTCGAAGGGGCGGCACAGCTCTGTCTTGTAGCGGCTCGAGTTGACCTGGCCGCTGCCCGGCTGCTTCTGGGTGGGCAGCAGCCGCTCGCCCCCCTCCGAGAAAGAGCGGTCACGGAAGCGGCTGTCCCGCGAGCTCAGGGAGGGGGCCGGCTCCCCCTTGAGGCTGCTGAGGAGCTGGTTCTGGTGGAACTTGGAGCTGGGCAGGGTGACGGAGTGCCTCCGAGGGAAGCCCCCGCCAGCAGGGGTGCCCACCGCCTTCCTGTCCAGCAGGCAGCCCCCAGCACTGGGAGTACTATAGTTGAGCATCTTGTTACCCTGGAGCGAAGAAAGGACAGGAAGGGTGGTTAGCAGTGAGGCTCTCCCCACTGGGCTTAAAAGCGATACCCACTAAAGGCAGCCCCCTCCACCATGGGACATATACCCCAGCTTTGAGTGTCTGGGGCCGGTCTCTCCCAAAGGAAGGACCTCCACTTCTGATCGCAGCAAGCCCTTTTCCTGTCCCTTTCTCCGGGTACGAATACGCCGCGCAAAAGAAACAAAACCCTGACTAGCTAGATAAATTATGCATGCACTGCACCCAATTCACAGGGGACCCCTGAAACGCACCCCATATCCCACCTCCAAAGCCTCCACTCTTAATCATGGTAACCAACTTCTCGCCGCCCCCCCCACCACAGCCAACTCTTTTACACCCTACCTCTATCAATGTACGCCCCCAATGGAAAACAGGCAAACCGCAGCGGTAAATTAGTCAGGTCCCTTTTAATCATTCTCGGACTTGAAGCCCCCCCTGCCCCCCGCCCCCATCTTCCAGGGCCTGGCCTCAAACTCTGCACCTCCTCTTTCACAAATGCTTCCTTCCTTCGGCAACAGCTTTCCAGACAGCTTAGTTTAGGAATGGGATTGGGGGGGGGGGGTACCCTCTTTGGGGGTTGGGAGAAAAAAGGATATGATTTCTTTAAAAAAAGCTGAGTGCCCATGCTCCCGGAAAGGGGTGCCTACTACAATGATCTCCTCCACCATTCCCCGCCCACCCCGCCCCCTCTGCTGGGAAGATTCCTTTGCAATTAGTCTTCTGGCTGCAAGAGCGGGCTTGGATAAGAGCGCCAGTGTTTAATCTTTAACGCAAAGCTGCAGATGCCAAAGGAAAGCACCAAATCTCACCCCCCACCCCACCCCCCTCCCAGTCAATAACGGAATGGGGGGTGGGGGGGAGGCGGGTGGTAAAGCCACCAGATTTCTGTTCCAATGGGACCTGGGATCACCTGCTCAAACTGAACCAAAGATTTGGAGAGGGTGCGGACTGAGGACCCAGGAGCTGGCTCCCAGCCCATGTGGGTGTCATTGTGCAAATTCTAACGTTGGTCCCTTAGGATCTGCTAGCCGGATCAAGCATCAGCTAGCACAACCACCCACAGGAACCGCGTCCAGGGCCTAGTTCCCAACAATGAGGCTCATTTAAAACGTCCTGCGCTGAGGGGGAGGGGGGCGCAACAGAAACAGATCAAAGAAGGGAGAGAAGTGCTGGGGTGGGGGGCGCCTCAGGCTCAGGCGGCTGGCTGCGCTGGCAACTCGCAGAGTGGGAAAAGCGCAGTTAGAGGGGAAAGCTGAAAATTCCAACTTTTGTTGTTGCTCTTGAGCTCTTCGGCGTCCCTGCACCCCAACCCTGCAGCCCTGGGGCCCTGGCAGCTGCGCCGACAGGAGCGACAAGCTGGGAAAAGAAATCAACAAGACCCGACGTGTTTAAAAGAAGGCAAAGCACTTTTAGCAATTAAAAGAGCCTAACTCAAACACCCTTTCAATTTTGAAAGGGAGGGTGGGGGGTGATCATTCGCAGGCTCTTCCAAAGGACACTTTCACTACCCTCCCGAGCATTTCAGGTTTGAAGGCTTGCTTACCAACACCGGCCGGCAAGCGAATACTGAAGAAGGAAGGGCCCCAATCCGTACTTCCCGCGGTGCGGCCGGCACTCCCACTCCTATCCACTTGAGAACTCCGCCAAGAGAATCAACCTGAATTCTACTTTCACCCCCCTAAAGTTGGGGGGCCCGATCAGCCAGGGCCAGAGGAGGCCGGACTGGGTTCTCGCGGACACACGCAAACTGGTTTTGCAACATCCCTCTGAATCACAACTTTGGGGCTTTTCCTCCCTCACAGACCTCTAGCCCCTCCAAAGAATTGGGAGGCAATCTCCCAGTAACACAGCGCCCCGAGACACTCCTCCGAGGGACCCCCTACCTCCCACGGCGCAGGCCGGCAATGTGGCAGGGAGACTCGAACCGCTCCGGCGGCGCAAACTGGGAAACTGAACTAACCAGGTTACCAGCACGTTTTGTCCGGAAGAGCAGCAGAAAACTTCGCCCCGTGTCCCCGTGTCCCCCGAGCAGCACTTCGCCCCCAATCCCCGCCCTAACTGCGGTCTTCAAGATTCGCATCGATCCCCGCCAGGAACTGTTCAAACCCCAAGGGTGGAGAAGAGTGGGCCGAATTCCTTCAAACTGTGAGCGGAGGCAGAGCGGGGAAGAGGAGTCCTTAGCTCGCTTCCCTCCGGCTTTCCAAGAAGATCTCCAATGTAGGGGGCTCGGAACCGACTCGAAGACAGTGGGGGGGTTACAGGGCAGTAGAAAACCATGGGGGGAGGGGGGAGCAAGCGCTCTCCCCCACGTTACCTTGCATAAAACTTCGCTCAAGTCGAAAATGGCGGCGGATACGAGGGTAGTGGTCATCTTGGGAGCTCAGGCCGGCCGGGCAGGGCGAGGAGCCGGTGTGTCGCGAAGGTCCCGGTGAGGGAAGGCGCAGCCTCCGGCTCTCCGCTCTGGAGTCCCACTCGCCTGCTCCGGCGCCCCTGGCCTGCTCCGACTCTCGGGCTGCGCCGCGCAAAGCCCAATTTATAAAGTTTCAGGTTTGCTGGGCCGGGAGGCGGAGCTTAAAACTTATTTAAATGAGGGCGAGGAGGGGGGGGCGAAAGTTGATTGACACTGAGGTTGAATCAGCCATGCGGTCAAACTCGGGCGGGGTGGGGGTGGGGTGGGGGAGTAACTTTCAAAAGGAAGGGGGAGGGAGGAAAGAAGGCGAAGGGGGGCGGGGGAGGGGGCTAAAAGAGCCACTCCGAGCGGCGCACAACTTCTTTTTTTTTCTTAAAGAAAGTTTCGAGGCCACTCGCTTCACTACCCAGGCGATCTGAGCCGCCCCTCTCTCTCTGGCCGAGCGCTGTGCTCCGGCGAGGGGGAGGGGCGCCCCCCTTTGTCAGCCACCAAGCGCGGCTCTGTGACATCACTCCTTCCACCACCCCCCTCGGGGTTCTTGTTGTTATGTTGTTGTTTTTTTGTCGAGTAGGAAGGCGGGCTCGACTTTCTCTTTTTGCAAGCTGGAGCTGAACCCCGCCGTGAAAGCCCGGGCTGCGGTTTCCATCTTAAGCTGATCTCCCCGGAAACTTTTCCAGTCCCCGCAGAAGTTAGTCTTCCCGAACTCTCTTCCGCCTCGGCTCCCCATCAGCAAGCGGGGCCAGGCGAGGAGGCTGGAAACGGGGAAGGGAGCGCACAAACGCGTTCCAAACAGACGAGGGTTTTACGTTGATTTCCGTGGTGGCCGGGACACTTGATCCCCAGGAGGATATATGTCCTGGCCGGGGCGAGCGGAGCGCGCCGGGCGCGTCCACACAGGCGCCCGCTCTGCAGTCACCACGCTGCGGAGTGTGGACAGTTGGAGAGGGGGGCCCGCAGCAGAGACACAACACCCCACCCCCGCGCAGGCTGACGCTGTGTGCTTTTCACTGGCCGGGACTAGGAGTGGTTCCCAGCTCTTTCAGGTTTCGAGCTCCTAAACTTGTTCAAGAAAACTGCGGATACCTTCACGAAGGACCCTTCTTCCCCCCCCCACCCCGCCCTCGCCCCCGCAAAGCAACGCATTACTTTCCACACGCCGCAAACCCCACCACACGCGCGAGCGCGCGCGCAGGCACCCTGGACGTTTGAACAACTTTTTAAAGTTACTTTGGCAAAAAATGTAGGTAAAGAGGAAGAGGGCGGGGAAGGGGGCGCCCAGGATACTTAAAATGGATTTGTTGCTTCTCCGCCCCCACGAGAACGGAACATATTGCTTGTCACGCTGTGCTGTTTAGGGGGAGGGCCGACCCCCTATGAAAGATACATATTTTTCAATGTTACATTTAGCGCCCCCGACATCCAGATAAAAAGTGGTGAGCGTCTCTCTCGTCCTTTCTCCGAGCCTTCGCCTAGGTGCTGGAGGGGAAACCGAGGCAGGGACGGCGGCCGCGTTTCTTTCTTATTTCCATGCGGGCCCTCCCTCGCACCTCTCTTCCCGGCACCCCAGGCCGCCGGCTCTATTATGAAACTCCGCGCGCCGAGTGGCTCGGAGCGGGCTCCATTGCGATGTAATTAGGTCACCTCCTTAGGAGCACGTTTCTTCGGAAAGGACGGGACGGACGGAGCTGGGCTCCGCAGCCGCACGCTCGCCCACCCCGCGCACGCACGGGCACGCATACCCACGCGCTTACTGCATTTCTTATTTACTCGTCCAATCGCCCGGCAAGTCCGGGAAAAGCTTCCAAATCCCAACTGGTTTGAGGAGCTGCTTGTTGTTGAACTTACATAAAACTTATGCGGCCGCGAGGCTGCGCGATCTCCCGCTCTCTTTGCTTTTTGTTTGTCCGCTCGGACTGAAGTTGATGCCCCCCGCCCCCTACTTTGAACCCAGCTGCCGCCCGTGGCCTCCCTCCCCCGACTCCTATTTTTCAGTTTTGCTTGAAATCTGGCAAGCGCCAGAAAGGGAAATAACTCCCATCCACCTTAATTTAAATCATTCAAGTATAGGTTTCTTTCTTAAAGGGATGTTTGCTGGCTTCGTTCTCCAACTCCAAGAAGGGGCGGGGGGTGGGGGTGGCCGTCGTTCGTGCAGTTTCTTGGTGATCAAGTAATGAGTTCCAGATTTCTGGACACAAGAGTAGGGTGCGCGTTAAGACCACGAGGTTAGTTTGTGCCCCGATGTGAAGCTATTTCGGTTTCTGATTACCCACCCACTCCCCCCCAAAAAAAACCCTCCGCTGGGGGAGGGGAAGCAGGATGGCGAAGTTGGAGGGAGAGACCCTGAGGGGGCGGGGTGTCTACCCGGTCGGTGGCCCGCCCCTGGGAGGCTGTCCACCCGCTCGGGGCAGCGCCCGAGGCACAGTCCCGGGACCCCGGCGCCCTGGGCTGGCTCCAAAACTCTTCAAAGCGAAAGCCGAGTTCTCGAATGTCCACCAGCTTTTCCAGCTCCGGGCGGGCGGGCGCGGCCCTCCCCAGCCCCCCGCTCCCGGGCGCGGGCTCGGCGGGTCTGGTTCGGTCCGGCGGGACCTGAGCGCCCGTTGTTTACGGGACCCGCCGCCTGGCGGGGTTTGTTCCAGCTCCCAGGGCCCGTCTCTATAATTAAACTTTTTTTTTTAATTGTCGGGTTGAAACGTCATTTCGGGGACTTTCCAAGGGTGAGAGAGTGAGCGGAGAGAACCAGCCTCATTAACCCTTTGCTGACCCGTGCGCCACGGCGCGATCGGCCCAGGAGCCGTGTCTAGCCCGGCCAGAGTGGGGTGCAGGGAGTGAGGACCAGACACACACACACACACACACCGAGCCCAGGCGTAATCGGTAGGTGCCCAGCGCTATCGGGAACGGCCAGGAGCCTGGATCTGAGCAGGCGGCCGGCCGCAGGGCCCCTGCCCACGCCTAGCTCCCAGCGGCTGCCCTTCACCTGCGCTGCCGCTGCAGACCGGGAGGCTGGGCTGTCTGGGCCCCACTTCCGGGCCCTCCCCGCCGGCTCCGAGCCGGCCCTTCTCGGGGAGGCCGCGGGAGTGTTAGACTTAGTGAAGAGGAAAGTGAATCCTTGGAAAGTGGGCGGTGCTGCGCATTTACTGTAAGGCCACTCCGGACCTGGGCGTACCTCGTGGCAGGTGAGATCCTGGGCGCCGGGCCCCGGGCCCCCTAACAGCCTGGCCTCGTCCCTCCTCTAAAGCATCCCCTTCTCCAGAGCCCCCTCCGGCCGGGGCTGTCTGCAGCACAGGACCTGCCCCCGCCCCGAGCCAGACGGTGTGGCACTTCCGCCCTGGCTTCAGGGCTTTTGCAAAATCCCCAAATGATTTGGGTTGGGCCCTGCCCTTGCTCCAACCTCAGTCACCTAAGACCCAGAGCAGCTTCAGATCGCTGGATTAGAAAGGGAAGTCCAACCGAGTGAGGCTCCTGGAATTACTTGATTTAGAATACTTAGGGAATGCAGATGCGTTTGCTGGAGCCCTGCAAACCAGGCTCCCAGGCAGCACCAGGAACCTGGCATTTTTGGTAAATGTCTTGTTAAGTGATTCACACTCACTAACATTTAAAAATCAGTGACTTTTTAAGTCAGACCAAAGCTTCGGTTTCCTCATCTGCACAATGGCGATAACACTACTGTAAATCTGCCACTAAAATGCCTCACTTAATGCCAGGCTGGAAACCCTCTAAGCAAAGCTACTGTATGTAAACCACCTCTGGGAATATTCACTCTGCAAAGGGATTCTTCCAGGTACCAAAACCAGTTAGCATTGAGTTAACTCAAAGGTCAGCAGTTCAAAACCGACAGCCACACCTTCAGGTGAAAATGGGCTTTTTACTCCCATAAAGAGTTAGTCTTGGAAACCCACAGGCCCTGTCCTATAGGCGCCACTATGGTATCAGCTCGATAGAAGCAATAACAGGTGTGTCAAGGGCAGAACTGTGCTCCCCAGGGGTTTCCTAGGTGTTTTCAGAGCCCTTGGGTCTTTCTTCTGAGCCACCTCTAACCCACTGCTATCCAACTCAAAGCAACCCTAGGGAAGTGAGCAGACAGCCTCATCTTTCTATCATGGAATGGCTGCTGGGTTGGAACTGCCCATCTCTCTTTGCAGGTGTGTGCACTGTATGTGCAGCTTTGGGTGAATTCAAGGCCCCCCCCCCCCATCCTTTGGTTAGCAGCCAGGCATGTTAACTGTTAGCATCGAACCCGTTAGCACCAACCAGGGACTCTACCTGAGTGTAAACTCAAAAAACTTAACTGCCATTGAGTCGATGCCAACTCATAGTGACCCTATAATAGAGGAGGGTAGAACTGCCCTTGAGTTTCTGAAACTCACTGTCCACGGGAGTAGAAAGCCCCTTCTTTCTCCTGCAGAGCAGCTGGTAGTTTCAAACTGCTGACCTTTTATAGTGAAGCCCGACTCATAACCATTACACTGCCAGGGCTCCAGATTCCTGAGTATAGACTTTTATAAAGGCCAACTGGAAACTTAAATTTGCTGAGTGTCACTCTCACCTGTGACCCCCATGTTAACCCTCCAGCCCTGGACGGCAGAGGCCAGGAGGCCTAGAAAAGGGGGGGGGGAGCTAGGGGAGGGTTAAGATGGGGTCAGATGACATAAAGGCACCATCAAAGCCTGTGGAACCCAGGAAGTGCTCAGACTGATTGAAAAATCATCCGGAGTCGGTGTTTTTTTTAATGATGAGACAATGTAGGAACAAACCGGGACGCGGATGGGAAAAGCCAGACCCTTCTTACCCCTGTCAGATGGCAGTTCTAACCCTCACTCCAGGGCCGCTATGAGCCAGAATCTACTGAATGGCAGAGGTACCTCTAGCCCCTTAAAGCACTTAGTAGGCGGCCCATTCTTCTGCCAGAATCCCGCCTCCCCGCCCCTCTTCTAAGCAGGCAGAGGCCTCAACGGAGAGCAATGTATGGCTTCTATACGCCAGACTGAAGAGTGGTGACAATCAACCAGCTGCTCTTCTGCGGCTCTCTGCCCCTCCATAATGCTTTACAGCCTCAGAAAC